CATCGATATATTTATGTTCATCTTTATTATTTTTGGGCATGCAATTTCTGCTGTAGTAGTGCTATAGTTTGGGAGTTGAGGACTTGGAATTACTATCAGGAGATGACCTTCACGCTCAAAGTTCATTTCTAATTATATTAAATGGGCTGATTCTTGGCAAGCATAGAAGACCACAGGTGTTGACAATGTTCTGTTGGATTCTGCTGATATTAATACTTTAATATAAGAAACGTATTTATGGTAACTCTATTTTCACTTTCTCAATAATCCTTCTTCTTTTGTAGCATTTTGCTGATGATATTAGAAAGCTGCGTAGAGCTGGCAAAGTTGGTGAGTTTGTAAGTGTCTTTATAAATGAGAAGCAAGTAAAATCCTTTTTCCCTTGGCTATCATTTTTTTCACTGTGGTTCTTCATGTCTCAGATGTCGTACTATTTTTCAATATTTTTATACAACTTTACATGAGTAATTATCCTGTCTAAAATCATAAACATTGATTGTTCTTGCGAACTTGACATCTCCTTTAAGGAATCTGATTTTGTTGTATGAGGATGATTGAAGGACAATTGATGCCTGATGCCAAGAAATGTTCTCGATAGGGTTAACCTGATGATGATGATAGAAAAATCAAATCTCATGATCGACCTAATTGCCAGGGAGTTTTCCTGAACTTATATTTCTGATAAAAAAGTAATTCTATTTTGGGAATGTCTTATGGTTCTCATGTATCTTTAGTTTCGAAAATTGTAACCATTTTTCTTGTCTAATATGCAAGTGATAGATTGTTGCAAAATAGTTTCATCATAATAAGAATCAGACGTCATTAATTTGACTTTGGAAAGTAATATAATATCGCAAAGAAGTCCTCTATCGGAAGGGCTCAAGTGGTCTTAGGTAGTGAAAGCCCGTTTTATCGTATAGCTGTATCCATGCAGTAACGAATACTTATTAACTAACTACTTATCACTAATAGGCACCCTTTTGCTTTCCTGGGAACTACTTCAACATTCCCTGTTCGTCCTTCCAAATTGGAACCTCAATAAGATAGAGATTGAGGAGCCTTTTTACTGTTTTACAGTAAATTAAATGATAAACTCTAACAATATATCAAAATATTACTTGATCTTTCCTTTTATAGATGTCTCGATTTATTAGTGGAACTATCTTATATAATATAAAATTTTACATAAAATTTCTATTATATTCTTTAGTAAACAATAAATTACCATTGCAACAGGCAATCGTTATTATTGTTGGGCACAAACATGTAAAACCATCAAAGTAAATACACTTTTCTTAAACTTTGTGCTTTTCAAATATGAACGAATAAATGGAGAAACGAGAAGTAATACGAGTGAAATGACAAATATATTCCATGCAGCATGGTTGAGATATGATTAAAACGTGCCTGCCTTTTATCTGAGCCATGGAGTGAAATTGGCCCAATCCTACCTTTGTGTCCATGAAGATCAATACTGCTTTGCAACAGTTTGATGGGACTTCACCATTACCCTGACTTGGTATTGAAAATTGCTGAGAGGCAGCAGAACAAGAGGCAAGTAGATGACATGAGAGCCTTTGGAACTGTAATTTGCATTTGTACACTAAAGGCATAACAGTATGCACTAAACTTTAAGCTACTGGTCAACATGAATTGGATTGAGAACTTGCACTGATTTCAGTGTTTTGTCAGTAAACCCTAGTTCTTGGTAAATAGTAAAAAGGATTAATTAATATAGAAATAACTAAACACCCTAAAATAACTAGAAATAATTAGAGCCTGTTGAAGTTGGAATGCATCTCTTTAATTGTTGATAGTGTTTATCTGAGCAGCCAGCAGATACTACATCTGGTGCATAAGATTCAGTTAAGTTTAGTCTTATTTTTTATGTTACAGTCAGTTATTGTTGGTTATTCTACTTGGTACATGTTGGTCTACCACTTAGAATTATAGATCAGTTATCTATTGAGTTCACTTAGTGGGTGGTTGTTAGTTTTTAATTTTATATCTTATGGTTTTCTGTACTTAAGCTTTCAGTAGAAAGCAGATATTAATGAAGAAGTAGTTATGTTTTCTTTTACTTACTGCTCTTAAGCATTCTCTTTACTCTCTTTTATTTTTCTTCACTTTATTTTGTTGAAATAACATCATGGTATCAGAGCTTTAGGATCTTGAGAGACCTAGGGTGCTAGAAACAGCGGAGTGTTGTTCATCAAAAGATCTCAGTTTTTCCTTTTTTGTTATTTGTCTGTCATGGCTTCATCTGGGTTTAGTGTCATAGCACCTCTTGTTTTTTCAGGAGAAAATTATGCTATATGGGCTGTGAAGATGAAAGCTTATTTAAAGGCTTTTGATTTATGGGAGATTGTGGAGATGGGAGGTGATCCTCTAGTGATGAGACATGCTAATCCCACTATTGCTCAAATT